CCAGGCCCAGTCTACAGCACCCAGGTTCTTGTCCTGTGTCCAGGAAGAATCAGGTCACACGAACAAATTGAAGGGTAGTGTACGTGGAGGATTTTATTGGGCAATGGAAGTGGAAATGACTGTCCGTGGAATGGAGAGTTGGAAAGGGGATGGTGCAGGAAGAAGATGATTTTTCCCTGATACTGTCCCATCTGAAGTTAACCACATCTTTCTGTAGTCTCCAATGGTCAGTTGCTTCCCTGCTTGCTACTCAGCTGCTTGTATGCCCAATACTCAACCGCTTGTATGGCTCTGCCAGCTGAAGTCTTTTTACGGGCATAGGATAGGGGCAGGGAAAGTCAAAAAAGCAATATTTGGGCAGAAAAACGGGGTCAGCTGTTTTCATCTAGGGCAGCAGTTCCAGGCTTAAGGGTGGGGTTTAGCTGGGAGCCCAGCCATACTGTATCACTGTCACATGGGGTGCTAGGTTTCAACATATGAAATGAGGCTGGGAGACACAAACATTCAGACCACCGCACCTTGGTCAATGTACCACCCTCATTTTAGTGAGTCGGTCCTGATTATTTAAAAGTTGAGGATGGTTCATTTGGGTGGAATGAGATCAATAATGCAATGTATTTTCAATGTGGTTAGAGAAGTGAAATGTTCAGCTTTTTGATATAAAAGGCTAGATGGTAAAATATTTGGGAGAACTTAATTCTTCTCCAGGGACCACTGCCGACATGGTATAAGACCTCTGATTAAGTAGAGTGATTGGCAGGTTTGTCTGTACTGTAACATGGGAACCCTTGCTTCCAGTAAAATGAGCTACAGCAGTTTCTACAGCAGAGACGCCATTATTCCTCCCAGAAAATCAGTCTGTCCTTATGTCTAGAGCAACATTCTCTGGATTCCATACAACAATCATCCTCAAACTTTAGTGTGCAAATACATTTTCTGGAAAAGTTTCTATAAATCTAGATTCTGAGACTCCACTCACAGAGATTCTATTGAGGCAGTCCAGGTTTGAGTTCAGGAATTTGCATATTTTTCCAACTAATTTCCAGGTAAATCTAATACAAATTATCCCAGAAATGTTGCTAAAACTAAGCAAATGTGACTGTAGCTTGGAAAGTTTTTGGCAGAGATCTCCAGTCTTCTGTCTTTCTGATGAAGAACTAGAGCATTTATCCTGTGGTACATCTGATTTTGATCAGCACTGCCTACCAGCAGGTCTGTTCAAATGAATTAACTACAAAATGTTCCCTCAGGTCACCTAAGCAAATTGATCTGCTAGATGGAGTTGTTTAGTACTTTGGAAAATGTCTGCCATAAACAGCAATTTCGGTTTAGCAGAAACGATATTAGGTTATCCTTTGTCCTCAATTCACTAAGCATAAAGATTTAGGCTCAGACCTGACAACACATCAGCTGGCTAGTTGATGATAGCCATGGATAGTTGTAACTCCAGATGCTATGCTTGGAGCTTGCAGTCTGGCTGGTGGCATAGAAGATGCATATTTGAAAAAGACATAAGGGACATTTCAAAAAAAATGTAAATGTAAAAGAGTGCATGTCCCACAAAACATACAGACAGATTTTGGTCTGAAACACTCCTTCTGACTTTCCTTTAGCAGAGACTCACATGGAAAGCCATAATGGAACAAAATGGCAGATCAAATCTGAGTTATTCTTGTTGGCACTGCTGTGGCATGCATACAGTGTCCCCCCTTATCCACAGGAGATACTTCCAAGACCCCTAGTGGAGGCATGAAACCACGGAGAGTACCAAACCTATAAAGACTGTGCTTTTTTCTAAGCGTACATACCTATGGCAAAGTTTAATTTATAAATTAGGCACAGTAAGAGATTAACAGTAATAACTAGTAATAAAACAATTATAACAATATACTGTAATAACAGTTAATGAATGTAGCCCCCCTCTCTCCCTCTCTCTAATTATCTTACTGTACTGGACTCACCAATTTTTGGATAGTAGTTGACCATGAGTAACTGCAACTGTAGAAAGCAAAATCTTGAATAAGGGGCGACCACTGTACTTATTGTACATACCTAGACTAAATGTTTCCAGCAAATTTGAATGTGAAAACATCCAAAGTGATGCTAGCATGTACTTCTATCATTAAATGTGTGTTTGTGGGATGGGGATAGGGGCCTCGCCTATTCTTTCTGTGTATCACAAACAAGCCTTGCTTAATTCATGTTGAATATATATTTTTTTCTGTAAACAGAGATTAGATTCTAAAGCTTGCTTGTTTTGTTGGTTTGAGTAGCATTATTAGTTTTAAAAGAGAACCAGTGAGTATAAAAAGTAGCCTGGTCAGTATGCATATACACCAAGTATCTAAATCTCTTTCATGGTGATATATGAGATTGATATTGTTTTGTTTATTCTTCTGTATATGTTTATTGGAATCCTCTATTTCAGCATACAAAAATGTTTTTTACATGACATGTTACACAGCAATCAACCCCAAACTTTTTAAAAAATCAAAGATGACTTGGCAAATTATAATAAGTTCTATTTTGCAGAATAAAATTGTTTGGCTGATTAGTTAGAAACTGCAGGTTTCTTATTTTTGCAACTTCTTGAAATGTTCCATTGCATTCAATCAACTGTAGAATCACTTTAAGTATCAATCTTAGAATTATCTCTCAGGTCCTCCTTACTTCTCTGAATCTAGACTGTTTTTTTTTTAAAGCCTCCAAGAAAGGTAAGCTTGGATTATGTCATAAGTAAAGAAAGCCCTAGCTGATGTGCCAGAGAGGAGCTTTGAGTGGGCAAGAATTGCCTCCTTCTGCCACATTCATCTTGTGGGTCTTTCTTCCATGATGCACACAACATCGCCACTGTGGGGAAAGGAATCCTTCACCATGGTAGGTCTTCCTCTCTCACATTTTTCCAGGCCTCTACCAGCTCTGAACCCATCTCCTTGGCTGAACAGGCACTTACCACTCCCCAAACACTCCTGGGTGCTTCTTCACACTTCTAGCCATGGTTCATGACTCCCTTCACCTAAATATCTTCCTCCTTTTCACCTCACATGCTGACTTGTCATTCAGATATGGTGCAAAAGTCATGAATTTGGTGAAGCTATCATCAAGCCTTCCCATGGTCTTTTTTCCTGGGTCTCACTCTGCCCAGACTGTCCCAGCACCTGTGACAGTTTGTACAGAGATGTATCTCTTTTCTTGACATCCCGCTAGATCATAAGTCTCTTTAAAGAAAAGACGATTGGGGCCAGGCAGAGTGGCTCATGCCCATAATCTCAGCACTTCGGGAGGCCGAGGCTGGTGGATCGCCTTAGGTCAGGCATTTGAGACCAGCCTTGCCGACGTGGCAAAACCCCGTCTCTACTAAAAATACAAAAATTAGCTGGGCATGGTGGCGGGCACCTGTAATCCCGGCTACTCAGGAGGCTGAGACAGGAGAATCGTTTGAACCCTGAAGCCCAGCTCACTACTGAGATGGCGCCATTGTACTCCAGCCTGGGCGACAAGAGTGAAACTCCATCTAAAAAACAAACAAACAAACAAAAAGAAAAGACAATTGGAGTCACCTTTGTATCTCCAGCACCAAGCATTTTCCGGTGCTCAATAGATGAGGGCTACACATTTGATGAATACATGAATGAATGAATTGGAGGTGAGGTATGTGTATGGAAGGTCATGCACGTCTCCTACAGACCAGAAGGAACAACATAATGTGATTTAATCATCTTGGATTATTTTTTATGAACATCGGTTGTGTACCAGGATAGAAAACTCTACTTTCAGTTACACTGTGTAGAGGCCTAGTGGGATTACACAGTAGGCTCCTATTAAAGGTAGGCAAATTAAGGTGGGAAGACAGGATCATATCAAACTACTAGACACCTTTGCCACAGACCATAAAGCCAAGTGCCATACAGTACTTCCTATGGTTTTTCTACATTTTGAATTTCTGTACTGTTGTGTTTTGCACATAGTAAATGCTTAGTACATATTGTTGTAGGACAAATGAGTAAATAAATGAATAAGTAAAAAGAATTGATTCCATTTTTAAAACTTGGGCACTCATATTATTTTGATAACGTTTTAATTAAATTAAGATTCCTCATTTATTTGTATCTTTCAAAGGACCCATTCAATGTATAGTCTTCGTGGTTCTTTTTCTTTCTTCTTTTTTTTTGTTTGTTTTTTGGGACGGAGTCTCTCTCTGTCACCCAAGCTGGAGTGCAGTGGCACAGTCTCAGCTCATGGCAAACTCCGCTTCTCAGGTTCACGCCATTCTCCTGCCTCAACCTCCCGAGTAGCTGGGACTACAGGCACCCACCACCACACCTGGGGTTTCTTAATTGATGGTGCTGATGTTGATATGAGAGCTTCCTCTATTGGCTCACCCCAAATGTTTCTTGGTATTTCCCATTTTCATCCCCCTAGGAATACTGGTGGAAGCTATTTTTTTTCATTTTACTTTTAATGTTAGGTAGAAAGCAGAGATGTGAGTTTAATAGCACATTATTTATTCCTGCACCTCAGGGGGAGGAGGATAGAAGGGAATGTGTTTATGAATGTAATATAGTGTGGATTAAGGTATGAGGAGCTTTTTTATCATGGATAGTCTTATTACAGATGTTGCCAGCACCTGTTGAGGATAAACTGAATTAGAAAAGTGTCTCCTCAACCCACCCCATTTGGGGCTTCTTCTTGCTTTACGATTCTAAGCCCTGTCTCTCAAGGGTTTCTCCTTCAGAGTTAAGCTTTGCTCTTTGTTGAAACTTGGCAAACAAAATCTCAGCTTGGGAACAGTCTCTTCTTTCTGCAGCCACATCTCCCCCACCCTCTGTTTATTAATTTCTTCCCAGAACTGCCCAACTGCATTTAATTGGGTACACATTTTGCAAAACGAAAAATATGGCAATTAAACCTTAATCCTCCTCCTTTATTTTAGGCTGCTTCCAACTACACAAATGTTTTGATGACTTCCTCCACTAACCCTTTAAAAGAGAAAGAAACTTTCAACTAAGTGGTGATATCCCAGATACTTGGGCATAAATTCTTCTTTGCAAGTTCAGAGTTGAGAGATGGTCAAATCCTATCCCTGGTGTCATGCAAAAGTCTTTTTCTTTCTTTCTTTTTTTAGGGATGAAAATCCAGATTGACGTGGTTAAGCAGCTTCCAAGAATGTTCAGACCTTGCTTCCAAGTACAGTTCTGCTGCCCAGAGTCCGCACACTCCACATGCAAGCCCAGGCAGTGGGCCAGAAGGTCTTCTTGTCTCTCCTGGGTCTCTACAGCATCCACTCTTAGGGAGCCGATGGTGCGGCATTGCCTCCTCTGAGGGCATGTTACTGGGGAGCTGCCATAGTGCACAGCCTCTGGCTGAAATTCCACCATCTGGAAGGTATTACAGCAGAGATAGTGCCTCCCCAACACACCTCAGTGCCCCGGGCTGCCTGTCTCCCCTTGTCTGAGTTCCTCTCCTGAGCAGTTAGCTCCCTCACTCCCAGCGGTGACCGCTACTCTCAGCCACTGTGAAATTTTGTGGACTCAGTGGAGGATCTCTAAGTGGTGTGAACCTGATGCCTTCTCCAGACTGCAGTGCCTTGGGAGGATCATACTGGGACCTCCTCCTCCTCCCCACCTTGATCTTCAGTGGTGCCATTCTTCACTCAGTCTTCATCTACCGTGTGAATCAGCTGATGAACCTAGATTAAAATAAACATGATTGAACCTGGGAGGCAGAGGTTGCAGTTTCTAGGAAAGACGTGTTAAATAGGAACTCAAAAACAGAAGTGATGTCTTGGGCAGCCATGAGAAGGTGGATTGCCACATCCAACCTCTAGAAGCAAGCTTTTAGGGTAAAAAAGGTGCAGCTGGCCATGTCTCAGGATTTCCTGTGAAACTCATGACCACTGGGGAGGTTAGATAAGCATCTTTGAGAGGGGTTATCCATGCTACAGGCATTGTTTCTTGATGAGGGCTTATCTAGGCTGTGGGTGTTGTTTAAAGGCCTTGCTGGAGAACACACTGGTTTGCAGGAGTCAAACATTGGTCATCACGGAGGTGATTTCCCTCCAAGATGGCATCACTGTTGCCATGCCACAGGATATTTTCCTACACAATGAACTCTTTGCTCTTTCCCTTCTTTCATTCCTTTCTTCCTGCTTCACTGGAAGAGGCATCTTGATCTTGGCTCCTTCAGCTTCCCAAGGATTTCATTCCATTGTCTATATTTCAACGACTTTTTCTTTCGTCTCTGTGTTGATAGAGATTTTCTCCATTGCCCTCATTTGCTTTCTCTTTCCTTCCCTGCCTAACCACTGTTCTTGGAAACAGTCTCTGTTCACTGGCTTCACGCTGTCACTGACCATTCAATATTCAGTTCACTGGCCCTCCAGCTTCTCCAGCACCCCACGACTCCACTGAAATATGTTCTCAACAAAGTCATCAGTAATATTTGAGTTGCTAAACCCAGCAGTATTTTATTTAATGTTTTTAAGTCATGACTGGATGTCTCCTGTGTGCTCCTTTAAATCTCTTCTCTCTACACCATGCTTTGTGTGCAGCAAAGCTGAACTCCACCAGTTGCATCAGTGGCGTCCTTGTCCTCCGGCTGCCAGTGAATTTGGCCAATGGAAAGTCCTAGAGATGATAGGAAAGAGAAAGAAGCATCAGAGATGGGCAGTTATTTTTCCCCCAGTGGACATACTAAGGGTAGGCTGCCTGCTACTCTTGACAGAAGTCACAGCTCCTGTTAGGGTATCCTTTCTAATCAGTTCTCTCTCTCTCACTCTTTCTCTTTCTCTTCCTCCCTCTCCTTCCCTCCCTCCCTCCCTCATTTTCTTCGGGTTCCAGTATTTCCTTCCTTCCTTCCTTCTTCTCTTTCTCTCTTTCTCTCTTT